TAATAGAAATTGTACCTTTATATCTAGGTTACTAAAGTTACCAAAACAGTATAAAGCTCATATATTGGATTTATTGATGTGTTACATGTTTGGTTATCATTGGTTGGCTATTTCCATGGATTGTTTTGTACTATTTAGCAGAGACCAGAGTAAACATTTACAGAAAATATATGCCCTCATCTCATAGGATTTAACTTAGAGGCTCCATTGTTCTATCAGCTCTTGGAATAGTCACCCATTGTCTTCCAAAGTTTATATTTGAGGACTCTTAATGACTGAGAATATTTTACTCACTTTTTGACAAGAGAGTATTTTGGCTTTGTTCCCACATAGTCAACCTGATAATTAACTCATGCATCAGTTGATAAATGGGATTTTTATAATGCGTATTTATAAACTATAATCATGAGGGATGCTAGGGAGAGGCAGGAGGAGGTACAGAGTGGTTCTGGAAAAGTTTTTGATATTATATATTACTAAAAAACTAATATTTAGATACACTGAAATAATAAGAAAAATGGCAGGCAAAAGACTCTCATTATTTAAAAATGTATTAATTAGAAGATCCAAGTGTCAATTTTCTCTTACTACACTACACCTGCCCCCTTTCACCTAAAACTATGCCCTTATTGTCCTGCCTGACAGCTGGCCATTGGTAGACAGGCAAACAGGACTGGGAAATGTGACCAGTACTATAGGTATTTCTTAATTTGTAGTTTGCCTCAGTGGGTAAATATTTTTTGCATGTGTTACACTTAAATCAGTCAGTGATCAGTCTCTTTATAAAAATACATTTTACTGTTATAAAGAAGCACCATGTAGTACTACATATAGTGGTATACAATTTAGTTCCAGCTTCAAAGGAAGAAAAGTTCTAGTATCAATTGAACTTCAGTGTTAGAAGAACTAAAATCCAGTTCCAATAATGACTTCCTTCATACTTGAACAGACTTTTGTGCCTGCTGATTGCTGTTGCTATTTCATTGACTGTGATAACACTTGAAAGTGAGCATGCTGCCCTACTCCAGAACTGGTTTCTAAGCAAATACGTGCTGAATGGCTTTATGGTTATTCTAGTATAAAATCTGAGTTGTCATACTCTCAGATACCTTCTTAAATTCTTAATTTCTGTTGTTCCCTCCTTTGGATTGAATTTTATGATAAAAAAGAGGAATTATCTATTCAAGGGCGTTTTGGAAAAGATCTTAACACTTTGAAGAGTATTTGCTGTCAATTCTTTTTTATTTAAAGTGAGGTTTATGAATGAATGATTTAATAATGAAATATTACTAAACTAAGTCCTAAGCCTTTCCTGGTTCCATAAAATCTTGCCTAAGATTTATTGTCCTCAACTAATTACATTTTTCCCCAGGGCGATCTTTGGAAGTCATTGTTGGATAGCTTTTCTCTTCTGAATTACAACCATGAGATATAGGGTGGGCAGGTAATATTAGGCAGAAATGTGTGCTAAAAAGAACAGGAGGTAGGAGGGCCTCTCTGTTCCCTCATTTACTAGGCACAGTCTTTGGGCTCATCCATTAACGTCCTTGCATCTCAGTTTATTCACCATTAGGTAGGAATAGGATATTCGTCCTTATTACAAAGGATTGTGAGGTGTTTAAATGAGATGATGAATGCTTTGCAAGCTTAAAAAGCTGTGCAAATATAAAATGTGATCATTTTTATTATCTCCTTTGTCTCTGTGTTAGGTAAGACATGATCATAAGCAAGGCAAGGAATTACCCAATATTGCCTTTAGTATATTTTTTATTATTTATTTACATACCGGGTTTCCTCCTCTCTAGTCAAGATGTCCGTCTTTGCCCGTGATCAGTGAGGGATTTCTTCCAACGTAATAAGAAGTGAACCTAAATGGGGATAAGCTCATAATTGCAAGTTTTAGGACCTCCTTACTGTGGAGCAATGCTTGTTCATTATCAAGAAAACAAGTTTGGAAAGAGAAACAAGGACACCCACCTACCCTCATCCCCCCATACAAAACCTTAACTGTGAATAATGCATTATTTTGAATTTCTTTCATATTTTTCTTTCTTTACTTTGGCTGTCAGTACGCAGCTTACTTGTAGAAGACTTGTTTTCTTCTGTCAGTCACTTCTGAGTAGAAACATTTCTTAAAAGCGTGGGGAAGATCATATGTCACTGTCCATATTAGATAAGGAAAAGTCAGAGAAATATGAAGATGTACTAAGTCTTCTAGTTATTGCACTTTTAATGAGTTTTTCCAAAGATTCTGCAATTCAGAAGAGATAGAGAGAGAAAAAGTTTTTCTCAGTAGAAATGGAGAGAGAAATGAAAGCTTGAATGACTCATGAAGTGAACCTGTTCTTCTCGGTGAAGAAGCTTCTCAGGTTTCCATCCTCAGTTATCCTTTGCCTCTAAATAAACTGAACAATGATTTGTGTTTCACAATAGTGTGAGACTACCTTTCATATTACCAAGAATATTACCTTTGTTTTAAAGATGAATTCTAGACCTAACCTTTTTATGAACTAAGGTAAATGTGTCTCAGTTTTCTGTATATTGAATTTGATGAGATGTGTGTTACAGCCTGTGTTTCTTTCCTCTTCCATTAGGTTCTTGTTTATTCTCTTAGGTCCTAAGGGGAAAGCCAAGTCCTACCATGAGATTGGCAGAGCCATTGCCACCTTAATGTCTGATGAGGTAGGGAATCTGGAAGATGATTGTCTGTGAATGTCTTACATGTGTTCTTTCATACTTTGAATTGGTTGTCACTATAAGTTAATACAGTGACTTTAACTTTTTAAAGAATATTTAACATACATCAGTTTTAAGAATGGAAACTGTTTAGGAAATAAAAACATATAATATACATTTTTATAATATAAGATTTACTTTTTGAAAACTGTGTAGATGTCAGCTTGTTTAGCATGAATGACTATACCTCAGCATAAAGAAGGCTGATAACCACATCACTCTACTTGAATGATGTACATTCAGGAAGCTCCTTATTTGGATATTTGCATAAAAGATATGGAGCATTAGCTGCCTTAGATGGCTTAGTTATTGCCTTCATAAGCAGATAAACAGATAGATACTATCTACATTCCAGAATGTACAAAGTCCTCTTTGTCAGTTGTTCCATCCTTCTAGCTGATGATTTGAAAGTCCTTTATACATAACCTAGGCCTTTCATACCTAGACAGATGATCACCTACTTAAAGCTCTGTGCTTTATGTGTTGCCATTTTTCTTTTTTTAATAGGTAACATTTGTGTGTTTGAGAGTTGCAGGTCTGGGTCTTAATCTGATCTTAAGACGTAGTTTGAACTTTTCCTTTTTGAATTATCAGCAGTGGTTTGCCCTGGTAGTTTTTATGTCAGGGAATGACTCTTCAGTATTTTTCTCCAAATCATTTTCATCTGGCTCCAATAGCAACTATATCAATAATGGTACATACCAATGGGAGATGAAAGGCAATGTTATTTTATAGTATTGAGAGAAAAAAAAAGCATATAAAAGAAACACAGCCATTTGTTTTATCCTGCCTCTCCCTATATTCTTTGGGTTTATTCCTGAAATATTTTGGGGCAAGCTGAATAACAGGAAATAGGAGAGTATGGTTATAGTCATACTACAGTAGGTTATGGACTATATTCTTCATGCTGGACATGATGTAAGGTATGCGGAAAGTTACTTTGTTGGGTCAGCACATCTCTTATTCTTCTTTAGGTGTTCCATGACATTGCTTATAAAGCAAAAGATAGGCAGGACCTGATTGCTGGCATCGATGAGTTCCTAGATGAAGTCATTGTCCTTCCGCCTGGGGAATGGGATCCAGCGATCAGGATAGAGCCTCCTAAGAGTCTTCCGTCATCAGACAAAAGGTAAATTATCAAGCAGTTGGGAGTTTTCAACCTTGGGAAGGAGGTTGTATCTGACAAAGGAAATGGAGTCAGGCAACTGCCCTAATAGTTTTAGGTTTCCATTTAACTTGATATATTATCTCATCTCAAATAAATCACATATGTGCCTTGGTTTGACATTTTATTGACACTGTGAAATGAATGCTGTGTGTTGTAATGTTCTTTGGTGATTACAAATTAGAGATCTCAGATTATGATATTGGAATACATCACAGAGATTCCTTGGGGATGTTTTGGAGGCTCCTTGTTCAAATGGAAAGATCAATTGATGCAAGATGAGGCTATGTAGATTTAAAAAATTAAGAAATTGGATAAGATAATTGAGGAGAAGCTGTTCCCTGGAAATCTGTTATTTTCTGGGTAAAACAGTTTCCCTCTTATACAATTCACTCAACTTTTTGATTCATCCAGTCATTTGGCTTGGCTCTAAATATAACACTTTGAGTTGTCTGTTAGGATGGCAGAAGGAAATAATGATCTTTCTCCCAAAGGGTTTCTAGTTTATCTCTTCATTAGCTAGTGCATGACATAGCTAAGAAGCAGATTAAAAAAACAACAGCAACTACTAATATTCTCTTGGGCTCTCTTTTCTTGCTTAGAAAGAATATGTACTCAGGTGAGAATGTTCAGATGAATGGGGACACGCCCCATGATGGAGGCCATGGAGGAGGCGGAGGACATGGGGACAGTGAAGAATTGCAGAGGACTGGACGGTAATTGATGGGTTCTTCTGTCATTCATGATGAGGTTCTCCTTACATCTAAATTTCCCATCATCTTTCTATCAACATTTTATTCACTGGTTTATGTTTTTGTTCAGCCAACAAATATTTATAGTGTACTTAATAGTCACAGGCCCTGGGGATATAGCAGTGACTTAAATAAACCCTCTGTCCTTACAGGTCTTACTTTGTAGTGGTGAAGACAGTGAGCAACTAAAGGAAGGTAGTAATGGTTTTATGGGGAAAAATAAAGCAGAAGTAGGGAGTTTCATGATGGGAGGAAGGTATTACAATTTTAGATAAGCGTGGTCAGGGATGGCCTTAAAGAGAATTGCAGCATTTGAGGAACGTCCTGAAGGAGGTAGGAGACAGACCACATAGATGTGGGGTTGGGAGAGGGGACAGCAGAGTGCCTGGTGTGTGCTAGTTTGGCATCAGGGACAATGTGACTGGAGTAGAGTGAGTGAGAGGGTGTTAGGAAAACAGAGATTGAGGGTGGGCGTGTATGGCAGGAAGACTGAGTAATGTGCCAGTCTTCCCCACTTGGTTTTTATGGTTCCATCTCTTCTCTCTACTCAAAAGTGGGTAACATGTTACAGAAATGAATAGCTCACAGGTCACGGTCCCTCTAGCCTGCAGTTGGGAATTCAGGTTTCTCAGATTTCTTTGGCTAAATCTCTTTTCATGATTCTTCCTTCTGCACTGTTAGATTCTCCATTTCATTTTGGGTTAACTAAAAGTTTAAATAGGACACTCATTTTATGAAGATACGACTTTTTAAAAGCACTGCAGGTTTTTTAAAAACACAAACATATGTTGTTTTAATATGCAGTTGAATTTGAGTGAAATAGTTATTTTTCCCTTGATGACTCATTTGGGTTTCTCTCTCCTTCCTTCTTAAAGAGTAGAGAATATGAAACTGTCTCGCATTTTTTTCTGAATAGTTCTTCACAATTTCCATTAGCAGTATTCCTTTTCTTTTCTACAGATGTGAATTTTAGGATTTAACATTTTTTATTTACTCAGAATGTGATTTCATTCTTCTATATTTCACCTTCCCTGAATGTACTGAGTGTCTGCAATTTTCTCCATACCATGCTCGGCCTTGTACATACCAAGAAAACTGAAGCAGAGCACTGAGTGCAGCTAAGGGCCAGCAAGCATGCAGACAGACAGACGGACAGTCAATCTTCATGCAGTGCAATAGCCCGTAGTGGAAATCTGAACTATGAATTGAGGCTCAAGATTTCAGAGATCTGCTGAGCTTTGAGGGAAGGCATTGTAGGCAGAAGGAACAGCAGAGGGAAATCTGAGATGTGAGGTTTGCTTGGGAGAGTGAGTTGACTGATACATAAATCAGCTGAGCTACTAACATTTGTAATGGGGCTCAGTTTGCAAAGCTCTTCCACCGCATACCTGCCTGCCCTTCTCCCCTTAGTTCCTTCAGGTTCTTATGCCAAAGACACCTGCTTGGGAGACCTGTTCAGTCCACCATCATATTTCCACCACCGCTACTCTAGCACTTAATAATCCTCTTCCTCACTTAATTTTTTCCTTAATTTTTAGCACCATGCATTTTACTTGCTTTTGTCTCCTCCATACAGAAAGTAAACTTCTTGAAGGTGGGTATTTTTTTCCTATGTTGTTCATTGTTGTATTTCTAGCACCCAGAATAGTGCATATCGCAGCTGCTCAATAAACATTTGTGAAATGAAAGAATGAATGAATGAATGGGGCTGGAAAGGAAGCTATGGAAATATTATAAAGGTCCTTGTCTAATCTGCTCACATGTTTGGATGTTTTTCTTTAGTGAGAAATTTTAATTTATCTACACAATTTGCTCTCATCTAAAGACCAACTATCTGCTCTTCAGGGAATGTGACACCTAATATGGGGACCAAAACAGAGATAGGTAGAAGAAAATTTATTCCTCCACAGTTTTCTGGTTTTATCTTAAGTGGTTAAATAGTACCTTGTTGTTCATGCAAGCACTTTAAATACAAATTCTTTGTGGTTTAATAAGTTATCTCTTAATTTGATGGTAATTTATTTTACATTGTTATATGTTTGCCTTTCTCCCTACCTAGGTTCTGTGGTGGACTAATTAAGGACATAAAGAGGAAAGCACCATTTTTTGCCAGTGATTTTTATGATGCTTTAAATATTCAGGCTCTATCAGCGATTCTCTTCATTTATCTGGCAACTGTAACTAATGCTATCACTTTTGGAGGACTGCTTGGGGATGCCACTGACAACATGCAGGTGGGTTTGGTTTGGGGGAGGACACAAATAGTACAGCCCAGATTGCCTTCCTCACCCCTACAGCTCAGTTAGAAGCAGATGGCCTTTCAGTTACTCAGCGTGATTTTCTTTTTTTTGCTGGATGCTGCGTTTTACTTCGCTTCTGGCCTGCTGCTGTATTTCCAACATTTTAGTAATTATAAAAATAGCTCGATGAAATCTGACTTGAGTCACAAGTGGGGAAAAGAAGGGAAGGAAATGAGGATATACAATTCTATTTGGGCAAAAGCATATCAGTTGCTTTAATAATGTGCAGGGCACGAGGTTTAGATCTTCTACTACCTTGAACATACATACCATATTGTTAAACCGAATGATCACACTCTTGTCAGGAATTATCTTCATTTTACATGTGAGCAAACAGAATCATCAAACAATTGAGTGATTTACTCAAGGATGGATTTGCCTATCGGTAAAACTCAGCTTTAAGAGATATAAGCTGAGCTGTTTCTCCTATTCCTGAATCTGCCTCTCATAAAGCTGTAAAAATTCTAGATGGATTTACGTAAAGAACCAGATTCAAGCCCTTTTCAAACTCTGTCTTTCTCTTTTACTACTTACTACTGTTTAACCTATGTGACATTCCTAAGTGCTGCCAGCCAGTTTAATTAAAAAAAAAAAAAAAATAGAGCTGATTCCAAATGATTGCTTTTCTTCCACTTCTGTTTTCCTCCCTGGACACATTTATGTTTTAGATTTCTGCCTAAACACAAAAATAAGTTGGAGACATCTGTGACATCTATGTTGACCTAGGTAAAAAGGGGATTATTTTAAACTATTATATTTAGTTTGCTAAGTACTTTTTATCTTTTAGAGCTATCTGTTGCTGCATAGTTTTTTTTATCCCAAAACTTAGAAGGTCGAAATAACCATTTTATTTCTCATGGTTTTAGTGGTTGATGGACTCAGCTGGATGGTTCTCTCTTGGTCCCCATATACTTGTAAGATGGCCGGTGAGGTTAAAGTCCCCTGAAGGCTTCTTTATTCACATGTCTGGTGCCTATGCTGGGATGTCTGAAAGAGCTGGGGACTGAGGACGTTCCATGTGGCTCCTTTGGGCTTTCTTACAGCTGGGGACTGTGATGATTCCTAAAAGCTCATGTTCTTTTGAAAAAGGCCAGTTGCCACTCAGCTCTGCTTGTTCCCACATGAATGTGTACTCAGTATTACTTCATTTTATGATTTTTCAAAGAGGTTGAAACTTCAAATTCTTATGTGAAGTCTGGTGTTTTGTAAATATTGGCAACTGATTAACATTTTTCAAAATAACATTGTGCTGGCCAGAAAGCACATATCTGTATGTTCACGGTGAGAGACCTGCGGCGTGGGGAATAGAAGCAAGTGTGGCAGGACATGGAGATGAAGTATACGAAGAGGGCATTTTCTCTATTTCCCTCATTCGTAAGACAGGAATGAAAAATTCAATTGTAACAGCATTGTCGGTAATAAAATTTTTATAAAATCTGATCTGTGTCCAAATTGGGCAACTTTTCTTCACCAAATGAGAGCGTAATGATAACTAAAACAGATCAATCAAGAAAACAAGCGGAAAAGAAAGCACTGGGAAACCACCCTGAAGCCAGCATGAAGAAGATAATACAGCTAGCCACATGTTAAGAAAATAAAACCAAGATTTTGAAAGAGTAGCAAGAACAAAACTGTCTTCTGTCTTTCTTTTCTTCTGCAGACAATTTTTCAACACTTTTTTTTCATGCATGTTCTCATTGAGACAGGAATTATGACACTATCTATGTGTTAATTTATTGCCTTTTTAACTGAATCAAACTTCTTTTCAACCTCATAAGACCTAGCTTTAGAACACTGCATCTGAGATGAGGGAGAAGTCTGTTAAAGTCTATTGTTGATCCCTCTAGGTGAATTAATTTCCATATGAATGAGTTCTCGGGAAAAGAAAGGATTCTGTTGTACAATATTTACAGTTAATATGGATATTTTTCTCCTCTGATAAATTACATGAGAAAGGCCTTGCTGATGAATCAAGCTGTTTTCTCGGTTCTGATGATTTTAGGAAAACATAAATGCTTTCAGTGGTCAAATATTAAATAGTCCACTAAACTGACCATTTGCTGGGTGTTACTTCTAGGAGTTGACTTAATTCAAAATATCAAATTCAAATATCTCTGAAGATACTTGCCAGACATAGTTTGATCATTTTATTAGTAGATTTTATAATTTCCATTGGTAATTTCACTGAAACTATGAATTTGATATTTGAAAAGTTTCTCTGAATGAAAATATTGAAGGACATACTTTTCTCTCAGTATTGAAGCCTTTTTCCTTTAAGAAATGTATTAGTGAAGTGCTACAATTTGTTACTTCTAGAGGTCTCAGTGGATGGCAGAAACCAAAAAAGAGGGATAGAAAATTAATGGTTGTTAATATATATCTGTTGAACTGAATAGTCTATTATCAATTTATTTTGTGTGAACTAATGCTATTAGTAAATGGATGTGTAGATCTAAGCACTAGATTTATAGATCTAAAATGATCTGTATAAATAAAAATTAGTACATGCGAACACATGCCCAACTCAATGGTTACATAGTAATTTTACATATCCTAATATTTTAATATGAAAAATTGTACCCGTAGTCATCATATTAGCATGTCTTGCAATGGGAGATTATTAGATTTACACACACACACACACACACACACACACATGTTGATTTTATCTATTTTAAGGATTAGGGAGTAAGGTGACAATATATTGAAGAATATCTCAACACGGAAAGGAATACACTTTAACATACAGAAGATTTGATGCTCTGGCAGTAGAAGTCTTCTTGACTTGGCACCAGGACAGCAAAATACTTTGTGGGTTTGGTGCTAAGGCCCAGGTCACCTCACAGGTCTATGGCAGGCGTCGACTCATTCCCTTATAAATCTTTATTTAGTGTCTGCTGTGCGCCAGACACTATTTAAAGTTCTGAGGATACAGATAAGTCACCAAAATAGATAGGAATCCTATTCTGACCGCATTTACAGTCCAGGGTGTTGATAATGCTATCTTTTTCTATGCCCCTAAGAGATACCCGTAATGGTGTGTAGTGGGCTTATTCAGGCGGTGAGTTCTTCTGGCTCTATTGGACTTTCTGAATACTAGATCAAGACTAGGCAGAAAAGCATTGCCACATTCTGAAATAATCTTCAGTTATATCACATGCCTTTTTAAATGTGGCAGTGGGTTATTCTCAAAAGTGCAGCAGCTCCAATGAGTCAACTGAGAACAGTGTCCTTGCTTTTAAAGGCAGACAGCTCAGAGATGGTTCACATAGGGCCTTTATTGTCAGGCTACAAATAGACATGGGTGCTGGGTAGAAACATGTTGTGAAAACACAGATGAGTCACTGCACTGCTGTTGTTTAAGCAAACTCTTCTGCCAGCTTATGTGCAGTAGGTCTTGCCTACTCAAAGACAGGAATTTACATTTAAGTATTTATTTCAGAGCTGAAACACACACACTTATTTCATATTCATGTCTATATAGCAAAGTATATATATTTAGTATTTACATGTAATATATATGTAATACTCCCACATATGTACGTGTGTGTCGACACACATACTTTATTAGAAGCAGATAATCTTGGGAGACATATGGATCCTTTTTCATGGATCTGTGTTCGAAATAAAACAGTTGAAACTATGATGGCTCAACGTACAATTGTTTCATAATGGCCAAATAGGTGATTTCCCCAATTTGACATATACAGTTTGACCTTAGGCTTCTCTCAGAGGACTCTGAGACTTCCAGAGTGGGTAGTTATGGCTTCCTTGTTTAGTGTGGACAATCACAGTTTAGCTTGGGCTTCTGAGAGTGACCAAACCACTTTGTTTAGTTGACCTTACATTCAACTAGGATCCAGGCCTGGCTTGCGACTGTTTCCTGTTCTTAGAGTTCAACAAGAGTGTAACCTTTCTGAAGTCCAGGAATTGTGCTTAAATTCTTATTATATTCTTATTACTCTTACTATCCTTTCCAGTAAGTCCCACTGTAATAACACTCTGGTTCCCTTGCCATGCTGTGAAGTCAGCAGGACTTTTCAGCCTCATCATTCTAAAAACATGTCCTTTCTATGACTAAATTCTGTGACAGTGCATGCCACCTCACTGTATTGTGTTTATATTCTTGGTCACCAAGCAAGTATACTGTTCTATTCATTTAGATACTTTCAATGAAATTGTTAAACATTGATTTAATAAATATTTATAGATAGCTGAGTCTGTGGGCAAGATACTGATATAGGGAACACTTTTTGATACTTCTTGGCAACTCTTTGTGTTATTTAAAAGTAGTTCTTAGCTTTATGAAACAAAAGAAAGTCTTTTAACTTAAATCAACATTGTTGATTGTGAATGACTGAGTATGGTTTAGAGTGAAGACTGAAGAAAATCATTTTAATTTTTTTTCCCAGGATTAAAGATAATCCTATTTCAGAACCTTTTAGCAAAAGAATACAGTAAAATTTTTAGAATTTCATGAATTGTCATATTTATGGAGCCTAACAGAGCACATTTTAACTTGCCTCATAATAAGGAACATTTATAGCTGGCATCTCCAAATATTGCTGTGCTGAGAATCAAACTGCTTAAGTTGGAAATATATCATTTCTTGTTCACATATGATATTCCTCGATGAAATAGACATTTCTTTTTTTAAAAAAACTTCAATTATAGTTGACATATAATATTATATTAGTTTCAGGTGTACAACATAGTGATTAGTCATATACATAGCTTATGAAGTGATCACCCTGATAAGTCTAGTACCCAACTGATATCATATATAATTATTGCCATATTATTGACTATATTCCCTCACTTGACATCTCTGTGAGGGGCTTTACAACTGGCAATTTGTACATCTTAATCCCTCCCCTCTTCTCACCCATCCTTCCAGCCTCCCTCCCATATGGCAACCATCAATTCGTCCTTTG